GCAAATTTGCGACTAGTTACGAAAATTTGGTCGCAACTTTGAAAATGTTAGTCGCGAAATTAATTGAGGCCATTTAATCAAGAAATAAGTAGGCTTTTAAATGATTAACGCTTTAATTTTCATTCTTTCAACAGCTTTCATGTCATTTCGAGACTTAATAGTACAGAACGTTTAGCGTCTCGGACAACACCAGTTCATCTAAACGATCAAGTTGAACCTGCGTTAAGGCACATAAATTAGTGTCTGTTATTTTAGTCAAAGCGATAGATTTCCAAATCATGAATTTTATGGTCTCCTCCCTATTCCCTGTGTCAGAAAATTTTTTGTCTCCTTGCCTTGTTAACGCAACAGTAAACAGAACAGCTGGGAAAAAAATCTGTATCTGATGCAACTGCGTCGTTGAAAGCATCGTGGTCAGCGTAAAATGACCGATTGAAATACAGTTCTCCAGCCACCAATAATCGCAAGAGGTGCGATCGGTTTTCGTCACCAAATAACAAAATGGAGATGGAATTGAAAAGGCAATCTCCATTACCTTTAGCTTTTAGTGCCACAAGACGATCATCGGCTCCTGTGACATCTTCTGGGATGAGCGAGGTCCCAAGTTCATCTCGAGGAAGATTACTGTATCTTGGTTTTGGCTGCTGACTGATTAAACGTGAGAATTCCTCTTGTTTTCTTGAGTATATAACTTTCGCTCGGTCGATTTCTTCGTTTAAAATGTGACCTTTGAAACAATTTAAGTCGCTTTCATCCGACATAATTGACTCACTAAAGAAGAACACATGTGTACTGTGAGGGCCTTAACGCGGGAAAAGTCAGCAGCATGCTGGCGGGACTGTCAGCGGCAAATCAAAACGAAATATGAGCCTGCAATGTGCATGTTTACAGAACCCGCTGAAAATGGCGTGCTATTGAAGGATATCGTTGCGTGTATGCATTCCAGGTAAATTACGGTAAACCTTCAGATTGTCACAAAATTATAAGACGCTACTTCAATGAATCTTTTTATTTCTAAATTTATTTAAGCAAAAATTCAAGTGCTAGTCCTTTTATTTCGTATCAGTTAAGGCAAAACCTAGTCGCAAATTTGCGACTAGTCTCGTTTTTCTAGTCGCAAACAAGAAAAATTAAGTCGCAAATGCGACCGCATCGGTCGCAATTTCGAGCCCTGTTATAGTTAGCAGAGGAGAATGGTTGCGAAAGCCGGCAAACATCAAAGTTGAAAACAACGGTGCAATAGTTTATGTTGGAAGATCCCCGACCGTGCACAATTCTTTTGTTTTTAAATTCAGGCGATGTTTCTATTGGTCAGTAAGTTCAAAATGATAGGAGTGCTATAGAACGTTGTGCACTGTCAGGTCCAAAAAAGCCAACGAAAACATATAACAAAGGAGCCTAACCAGCTTCATAACCATTTCACCTTTATAACTATGGCCAGATGGATGGTATAGCCAGGTTACATCTTGGATTTGAGTGCTTCCTTCAGCTCAAGTTTAGCCACTGCCTCCAAATGAACCTCATCCGGGCCATCAGCAATGCGCAGACTCCGAGCTCCTGTATAGAAATAAGCCAGCGGTGTATCCTGGGATACTCCCTTCCCACCATGCACCTGAATCGCTCGGTCAATAACGTTACAGGCCATGCGAGGAACTGCGATCTTTGCCATAGCAATCTGCAAGAGTTAAACAGTGAAGTTCTCAATCGATGTAAAACAGTCTTGTGTCACTCCTTCTCAACCAATTCTCCGCTGGAATTTGGTAGGTTCACCAGGTAAGCAAATTCAATATCACTTGTCATAGCAAGACAGATCACTACTGAAATTTTCGCCATCAAACTAATCTTGCTATAACAGTACACTACTATTACCAAAAAAAGAGGTATATACAAGAAAAGGTTCAGCTGTTTCATTCGTGTTCACAGCTCCGTACTTTCTTTCTCACACAGAGCCGCCAGACAAACTTCAAGTTGAGATAGAGAACATTAGGGAGCTTACCTTACAACGACGTACGGCGAGGTCTACGAAAGCGTCACTATAAACGTGAATTCGCGCTGCTTCAAACTTTATCGCGCTTATTCCAACTCGTTCAATTCGTCAAATGTTGGCAAAATTTCTGGAGTTGAATTCTAAAACACTATATCAAAGTTCAGGAAAAGAACAATGAAGTCGTTGTCTTCGTCCACGTCCTGGACAAAACGTGAAATTAGGCACTTTCACCGGTTGTGGCCGTGTAGCGGTAGCAAAGAAATGTACAAAAAAGCGTGATGCACGAGCAAAAATGTTGTTTTTCCAATCTAATTATAAACCCAGGGTTCGTACTCTTTTGAGCAATTCAAATTCCATGACTTTTCCCATGACCTTTTAAAACTTTTCCATCAAGATCTAAGGTTTAGCTGTCACTTTTAAACCTTTTTAGGACTTTCCTTGTTTTAGGATATTTCTGGACCTTAAACAGTTCAATAGACACAAACTCTGGTGTCCACCAAAATGCGTGCCGTTCGCGCTGTTAAATCACTTCTCTCTATTTTATGTTGTCCTCGCCTTGTCATCAGCAGTAACTAATCTATCAAATAAAATTTTAATTTTCCCTGACTCTCAAGGACCGACTATTAAATCCCATGCCTTTCCAGGCCTTGAAAATGAAATGCTTAAATTCCATGACTTTCCAGGTTTTCCATGACCCGTACGTTAAGTTGGCTTTACCCTTTCGACGCTGACTCTCTTTCCAGGTCTGTGCACTGTGCCCCTGATGAGAATGACAGACCTTCTGAGCGGACTAAAATTTTTTAAAATAACATCAGTCTATGTTCCCGTCTATATTAGTGAGCTCACTAGAACTTAATAACAGTGTAACATAGCTATTTATCTTTTTAGTTCTCGTACCATAGCTAAATGAGTATTTAACACTTACTTAATGCTATGCATTCTTATTAAAAAATAACTAACGTATTTATGGCTATTTTTCCCGCAGCTGTATGTAGTTTACGCTCAATGAACTGATGTGTAGTCATTGAACTACTGGTGTGGTTACTGATCTGTTGTGTACTTATTGAACTGCTGTGTCCTTATTGAACTAACAAAAAGGAAAACTAATCTTTTTTTTATTATTTGCCGTTCTCGTCGCCGTCGCCGTCGTCTTTGCTTAAGCTCCCAACAAAGAACGCACGTCGCAACAACTGAGGAAGATCAAGTCGGTTTGGTCACTAACTTAAGTCACACTAAACTGTAGACTAGAACTAAGGGGTACCACACGTGTGACATTCCCGACAGCCCTGGTTGCCCTGTGCTCCCAATACTGCTCACATACTCACCTGTTTTCTTGCAGCCTTGTTTCCATGGCAATCGATGGTGTGTGCCGCCTTCAGCACAAGCAGTCTGGCCTGTTCAATTTCAATTCTTGACAGAGCGATCTGCTCCTGTACCATTCCCTAAAGAAACATCAGTGATACAACGTTTTAGTAACTGCAATACACGACCAGACTATCATACGACGGGTTCCTTATCACGAGTGTAATCTATTGAGGTAAGTGGTATTACTACTTGTGGCCTTGCCTAGTCCCTAAGCCTCGTTGGCAACAAAACTTCTCAACGTTATCGTCCGGCGTACTCGTTTTAGCTACCAGTAGGATCCCATTGCCATGTTTAGCTAACAGATTCAGTCGTGTAACAGGACCTTGAACCTTCTACTACAAACCTTTTCGGCCAAACGCTTTCCAAAGGCCACTCTCTCTAAAGACCGCTGAACCATAAGTTCCAGTGATCGTTCTGCTAGTCCAATTGAACGCATGCAGTGGTGAATTCGCCCAGGACCCAAACCGCCTTGAGCTATCTCAAATCCTCGCCCTTCCCCTGTCATAAAACAAAAGCAACAAGAATAAAAACAAAGAAGAGTTGAATATTTTAACATTACACGGACTCATCATATCTTCGCAGAATTTGCTAGGGTAAATTTGTTCATAAAAATCCCCTTTTTAATAAATTAAAAATAAAGCATAAAAGTGAATACCATTGGATGAAAAAGTAGGCCAAACCCTTGTGGATCATGAAAGATAATAGGGGTAAGAGTCCACAAGGATTTCAAGTAAATGTGATAATAACTTTGGCTAGCTGGTAATATAGAAACTTAAATACACATTTTTAAAGTTCCAATTCACTTAACATGTGTAAATCGTCGTATAAAAATTGTTGATACAGACGAGCTCAAAAATTGAAGAGTTGAAGACTGATTTTGCCGTGGATTCATCATAAATTCAGAATTACAGTTGAAATTCACGATGTCGCCGATTTTCTTCCGTCTATGTGACTGATAGTACCATGAGATTTAACTCTTGTATACATACCCAGTATACGACATGAAAATGCCTATTTTCAGTCTTTATAAAGAACGCAAACACGAGACAATGAATTCCTCTGTCTCTTTCTAAACTTGAGTGCGGTCCCCAAGAAATCAACTGCAGGGAAATTCGCTTAAATTGGACATTTTCAACGAATTGGAATAAACGCGGCAAAGTTTTAAAAAAAGTGAATTCATTTTAAAAGTGACGTTTTCGCTGCCGTCGCCGTCGTCGATGCTAAAGCGGCAACAAAAACGTGAATTCACGGTGTTGCAAACTTCATCGCCGTTATTCCATGTCATTCACTTTGTCAAATTTTTGGCGAATTTTGTTGGCAGGAATTTAATAAATCCTAAAGGATTGTATCAAAGTACAGGTAAAGAAAGAGAAAATTGGTGTCATTGTTTACGTCCTCCAATAAACGTGAAGTTTTAATTAGGCATGTTCACGTCGTAGTCGTGCGAAGACGGCAAAGAAATTTACAAAATAGCGTGGTGCACGTGCAGAGTTGTTGTGTTGCTAATCTTAACCTATTCGCCACATGCACATTTCCCAAAATGAACAATATTTGCCCCCCAAAAATTTTGCATAAGCATTGTTTTCAATTTCTCTTGGGACGGTTGTAATACCCAGGAGAAATGAAAAACAAAGGTTATGCAAAGTTTGGGGGGCAAACAAGGTGTATTATGGGAGATGTGCAAGTGGCGAATTGCTTTTTTTGCAAAAACGTTATCGTTGCCCTCGCGGTTGTAGTTGTTGTTTGAGCTCGGCTATTTCCACAGTTGATAAACGTACGTTGCTAAAGGAGAGTGATTCCAAAGCGACATGATATGAGGGGCACTGGAAATTTTACGTAATAGACCTTTTTACCGATACGGCGGCCATATTGAATTAATTCGATTTAAGGAGTATTATAGCATGCCCAGTGGGCATGAGCACACTTCGTTTGTATTTTCGAGCGCTTTTCGGGACATTTTTTCTTAAAGTTTTCTTAGTATAAGATTGTAATGGGAAAAAAGATCCTTGTGCCGTGTTTTGATGTAATAATGATCGCCTTTTTCCCCGAGAAAAATACAGTGGAAGTCCATATTTCTAATACTAAACTAGAAAAGTTTTTATAAGTTTTTGAAGCACAAATAGATATTTAGCAATAACGTATTTCTGTTTAAAAAAAGCCCACTACTGCCACCTTTCTGTAACTTGGTTGAGAATGAATATTAGTAAGAATTAAAGAAAAAATCGTTTATCGAACACAGAACTTTATTAAAAGAATATTAAAGTTAACTCATTCCTTTAACAAATAAGTTATGTACATAACTTGAATTATTTAAGACCACATGGGTTTTCCTCGGACTAAATGTGGCTTCACTTGCCTGCAATAACATAAAAGCACTGCTGTACAGCTGACAAATACATATTTTAATCAAAGAGGGATTTGCTTACTATGTAGTTTCCTCCAGAAAAAAGGGACAATTTTTATTGAAATATCTGAATTTGATGATTGTCTTTGTCGCACACAACAATTTGATCATTACTTAGAACAGCTACCGAGAATGGATAAATGAATTCTCCTAATTTGCTGCCATTTGTTCCAAATTTTCCGACAAACTTCCCATCTAGTTCAAAGACTTGTATTCTACGATTCTTCTCATCACAAACCAACAGGTGCTTTGACTGAGTCACTGACAGAAAACGTGGACAATAAAAATCCCCGTCCCCATACCCCTGCTTACCAAACTTGTACTGAAAATGCCCCTCCCTGTTAAATACTTTGATACAGTGTTCATGAAGGTCTGAAACTATGAAATATTCACCACACTGAACACAGTGAACAGGATAACTTAAAGAACCCTGCCCACCTATCTTCATTACAAACCTACCATCCGGGGTAAAGATCTTAATCAGTTTGTTATCTGAATCAGCAACAATAACATTACCAGTAGTATCTAAGGATAAACCCCAAGGGGCAAAGAGCTGACTATCAAGGCTTCCTTTGCCGCCAAATAAACCCAGGTGCCTCCCCTCCCAGCTAAAGATCTGTATTCTGTGGTTATAACGGTCTGCTACGAAAATTTGTCTATCCTTATTAATGGCTATTCCATAAGGGTATTTGAACTCTCCAGCATTTTCACCTTTGTGACCAAAGGATCTTAAGAAAGTACCATTACTGTCAAACACTTGAACCCGATGGTTATTGCTGTCAGCTACCACTATTTCGTCCCCATCACTCACTGCCACCCCATAAGGAAACGTAAACATTCCATCACCCGAACCTTCCTTTCCAAAAGATAAAACAGGTTTGACTTGAAATGGTTTAAAAATCACAGTAAAAGGACTACAAGAAATATGTTCCCCGTTCACCTTAGCTAATAATTTGAATGTCCTCTGAACTATGGGAAAATAAGTGATTTTGTAGATTCCATTTTTGTTATCATCTATTTTAACTTGGGTCACGCATTCTGGTTCTTGCTCGTCCTTGATCTCTACCGTGACACGGTTCCCTCCATCATACCACTGCTTTCTCTTCGCGTTTCTTGTGATCAAATTAAATTGAGCTTTACGCCCAACAGTTCCTTCTGTCAGTCCTTTACCTTCAGCCAAAAATTCGCTCGCTTTTTTTCGATAACCTTCTTCCATGCACAGGAAACCAAGTTCTTCCCCGTTGACGGTATCAACCGTCTTCTGATTTTCCACGAAAACTAAAGTTTGCAGACTACTGGGGTCATGAACAATAGGCTCGGTTTGATTCAATCCCTGAAAAATTGTTTGTAGTGATTTTTTGAGTTGAACAACTTCCGCGGTGGTGCTTCGTTTTAAAAGTTTATCAGCTTCCTCCAGTGATGATTCGGTGGCACTCATCTGTTGCTGAATCGCACTTCTTTTTGCTTTTAAACTTTCGAGTGACTTCTTCGTTTGGTTTTCAACAGCAGTAATAATATTTTTCATTTTTGCTTGAATTGTCTTGATCAAGTCATCAGCAAACCTTTGGACATCTCTCCTGGCGATTTCACTTTGTTGAATCACTTTAGCACAGTCCTCGTCTAGTTGAGTAATTACGTTCAGTTTTGCATCTAACCCGTCTCTCTGCGATTGAAGGATAGATTTTATTTCGAGTGTTTTGTTTTCGGCTTCTTCTTCTATTAATCTCAAATCATGACCTCCGTGATTCACAGTGACGCAACGTTGGCAAAGAGCTGTTTCGCATTCTTTGCAGTAGTATTTAAGCTCTTCTTTCTGGTGTCGTTCCTTTGAACAAAACACTGGTCGCTTCAATACATCCTCGTAATCCCTGTCTTGGAACTCTTTTACTGCCAATACGCGGTGTTCCTTTTGGTCTCGCATCATATTGTGACCAACCAGGCATTTCTCGCAATAAAATATGCAACACTGGAAACAATACGAAGCTTCTGAGCTCTTCTTGCCGCAGTTTCCGCATTTAACTTGAGTCTTTTTGCCTTTTTTGATGGCAAGAACATCGATTAAGCCGTTCAAATAGAAACTGGTTGGAAGATCTGTCAGATCACCGCTCGCAGGCACTCTGCTTAGGGTTTGGCACTTCGGGCATTTAATGGCCTGTCCGCCGCCACACGTTTCGTACCATCGATTCAGACACTTTAAGCAGAAACTGTGCAGACAGGAGAGATGTTTAGGATCCGTAAATAAGTCCGAACACACCGAACAAGACACTTTTTCTCGAAGATTGTAAAATAGCGTTGTAAGATCCATGATGGCTTTAGGAACAAAGGCGAACTGACCTTCCATGCACTCCATACCCAACAATGAAGTCTTTTGACTTTCTATCTTTAGCTTTTCTCGGCAACAAAGGCCGACGAGCCAATCACGATAGCTGTTGAAACAGTCCTTGTCGCGCCAGCTTTAGTTTGCCATTTTAAATGCAAATTATTTTAAAACTAAACCAGACGTAAAATGATGAATAACAAGATGAAGACTAAATCCTTTTGTGAAGCAAGGATGCGTGAAAGCCATAACTATGAAGGACGCTAAATCAAGTACGAGTGCGGCGTAGATAAAAGCGAAACATCTGTTAGCCTGTGTACTGCCGCCCCGTCTCTCTACTCTATCTTGTTTGAGGGGAGGGGGTTACTGTACTCGTTATATACCCGTTTTAAGACCAAAACGATTCAAACACCATACCCTTTGGTGCAGCACATACATTTATGGGTAATATAATGGAGTAACTCCCCCTTGACACGGTCTAAACAAATGTCCGTGAAAGAATTATATTGCCATGTTATATAGTTACCCACGGACCAATCCCCCACCCTTCCCCTCAAGGGTTTAAACCGGGTTTAAAATAAGTAAGTTGTTCATGTTTTCCGCAGACAAAATTTTGGCACAATTTATACAAGTTTATAATATATCATGATAGTGTCAAAGGTCCCTAACAGGGCCCGCTATACAGCATAATTGTTTCTGTTACAAATCTTGTAATGCTTATCACGTTAGGCACTGATAACAACACAGCATAAGCCAGCAGCAGGATGTTGTAACTACCCTGACCCCCCTTTACGCCCCATTTATTTTTGTCGATGGGGATATCAATTCGTTTAGTTGACATCTATTCTTTCTCTTGCAATGTGCTTATCTTTATATATTAAGCTTTAGGAATATTATACTCGTGCCGGTAAGAGGTTGGGTGAATGACACTAAAAGTCTTTCCCGCCTATATTGAGGGTCGTGTAATTTAGACGCCTCTTGAGCTGGTACTTGACCTACGTAATTGACCGTAATGTTAAATCATATTGAGGGTAAAAATCTATATATTCTAAGCCAGGAGAGAATAAAGCTCTCTTGTCTAAGCTTGAAGCATAGTTGACACGAGAAACAACTCTAAGCAAGGAAAATCTTGCTGGATACCGATGTTTAGGGTAAGTGAGGCTCCATACACATAATTCCACTTACCCCCATGTCATTAGCTTCCCCTTTTGGTAGGATCACCGGTAAACCAGGGGGATTGTAAAATGGGCGGAGCAAAAGGTGACCCCCAGGGGTGGGGAAATATAAAAAAAGGCCCCCGGTCAAAGTGCTTTTCAGTGAAGGACGTAGACTAGCACAACTGAGTACAAACTCTTTGTTGAGAAAGAAATGAGAGTCACGTTTTCTCGTGCACAAAATAGACGTCTTGCCATCAAGGAAACATCATTGTGTTAAAGTAGTAGGTTTGAATTTCGCTGGCGAGCCATCGCTTTTATAGACTTTTATTCCGGTATCATCAGAAATGCAGGCTATGTTAAGTTCCACGAACTGTATGTTGATCATCACAAGCTCTCGACAAATAAACGCGCAAGAAATCGCTCAGTAAAAAAGACCATGTAACGTTTAAACAAGTGGTGCTGTGAGTGTTTTAAACAGCTTCAAAAACTCGATTCTGGTAGTTTTATTTCGGTTAAGGTGACTCGACCCAGTTTTTTGGGGGGAGTACCATCCTACTTTGAAGCTCTCTGGTATCCCCGCCTTTACTTTTATCGTAAGTCTAACACATAGAATGGATAACATATAGATCAATCTACAATATAACATAAAATTTTTGGCGATCGGAATAAATGTCACGTGGTTATAATACCACGCCCCTTTGAGGTCTGAGTCGAAAATCTGCTGTTGCCGGCATTTTTTCGTGAAAATCTCGCGGCTACACATAGTGCGCATTAGTGCCTTGCGCTGAACAGAGTTTCACCAAAATCGCAAAGACCCAATTCGAGAAATTCAGCGGTTTCCAAATTTAGGTCATAATTTATGCGAAAATGATAAGCAAACTTTACACGGATTATATCTAATAAACTATGAGATTCATCTCTTTATTTTGGGCATCGTTATAACAGATGGGTCCTTGCAAGTCAGCAAAACGCTTTAGGGCCTTGTAAATGCGCGCGATTTCGAGCAAAGCAAACATATAGAAATTATAGTTTTCGCTATTTGTTGACGTTTGTCAGCGTTTAAGAGTCCTTCTCACGAAAAAAGCATTTTCTTAAAAATTCGTAGTTTTTTTTCCTTCAAATTTTTTCAGGGCCACAATTGATTAACTAACTACCCGGACTCTGAATTTCATGGTCATTGAAAAACTGTGACATTATCTTCTATAAGCCCAAACTTGAGTAAACATTGAAGATTTTTAGCGTTTTGGCTGAGTTTGTGCTTTGGGAGTTGTCTATTGTTTCTAGTCTGTCATTATACAGCATTCTTGTTCAGCACGCGTGCAATGACCACGCTTGGCTGACTTCCGAATGCTCACCGAGATATTCCCGTCACGAGTTGGTTTAATTATTGGCTTGCATTAAACCTATGAAAAAATGATATTTTTTTAATAGTAAGTAGATTTAGTGTGTAGCACTTCTTGATTTTTTTGCAAAGGCACAAGAAGCACGAGAATTGATTAAAAATTGTGACTTAAACCTCTATGTATCACGCGATGGCCTGTCTCACTGTACCAAAATTATTATATCTCGGTGAGCATTCGGAAGTCAGCCAAGCGCGGTCATTGCACGCGTGCTGAACAAGAATGCTGTATAATGACAGACTAGAAACAATAGACAACTCCCAAAGCACAAACTCAGCCAAAACGCTAAAAATCTTCAATGTTTACTCAAGTTTGGGCTTATAGAAGATAATGTCACAGTTTTTCAATGACCATGAAATTCAGAGTCCGGGTAGTTAGTTAATCAATTGTGGCCCTGAAAAAATTTGAAGGAAAAAAAACTACGAATTTTTAAGAAAATGCTTTTTTCGTGAGAAGGACTCTTAAACGCTGACAAACGTCAACAAATAGCGAAAACTATAATTTCTATATGTTTGCTTTGCTCGAAATCGCGCGCATTTACAAGGCCCTAAAGCGTTTTGCTGACTTGCAAGGACCCATCTGTTATAACGATGCCCAAAATAAAGAGATGAATCTCATAGTTTATTAGATATAATCCGTGTAAAGTTTGCTTATCATTTTCGCATAAATTATGACCTAAATTTGGAAACCGCTGAATTTCTCGAATTGGGTCTTTGCGATTTTGGTGAAACTCTGTTCAGCGCAAGGCACTAATGCGCACTATGTGTAGCCGAGAGATTTTCACGAAAAAATGCCGGCAACAGCAGATTTTCGACTCAGACCTCAAAGGGGCGTGGCATTATAACCACGTGACATTTACTCCGATCGCCAAAAATTTTATGTTATATTGTAGATTGATCTATATGTTATCCATTCTATGTGTTAGACTTACGATAAAAGTAAAGGTGGGGATACCAGAGAGCTTCAAAGCAGGATGGTACCCCCCAAAAAGAACTGGGTCGAGTCACCTTAATACGTCTGCGAAGCAACGCTGAAATGTATGTTCTCAACCCTTAACGGACAACGAATTGGATTTGGTTTTCCTTACAACCTGATTGGTCAATGTAATTTAATATAATTAATATAATTTCTAGGCTCTTTGTCGCCTTTTCTTATGTGCTGAATAGACATCTTATCACGAAGGTAAGAGAAAGCAAGTATTGGGTTTAAATTTTACTGTCAAGCATCGCTTTCATAGACTTCAAACCAGGCATATTCAGAAATGCAGGCTTTTGGCTCATGTTAGTCATCAAAAAGTATCCTCGTGAATAAACGAATGTTTCTGACATGTGAAGTACTCCAAAACAATTCTTAGTTTTTGCCATGTTGGTGGTTAATACAATAAAAAAGATTTTTCGAAGCGGATAGCAACGCTATTGTTCTTGACCTCAACATGGCCGCCATGACGTCACAATTGCAAACCAGCAATAGCTAGCCTCATACAGTTGTAAAAGCTTTATTAGACTGTGTTGTGTAAATTATGTTAACTGCAATGTATGAATAAGGATAGAATTTCCTCACTCAAATTTAAAAAATATTGCCTGCATTTCGGGAAATAAAAAAGAATATTCTTGATCCGGTGAGTGCAACAGTCTCAAGTGTAATTTCAAATAGATGTAATTTACTCGTTATGAAATAGAGGGGCTAATTTTTAGCTTTTAAAGAAAATTTTTTTCCTTGTTGCACGAAGAAGCAGTAAATAGTAATTCAGAATGATTTAAAAGTAAATAATAGATGCCAACACTTTCATTTAACTTGGATGATTAAAAGTTTTCTAGAACTGAAGTATTGAGGAATAGAATGTAAGTGCTAAGCACAAGTAGAATGGTAAATAAACCCTAAAAGCCCTAATATCAGTATCCATATTCTCCGCACTTCTCTCCAATCTGATACCAATGAGGAGAATTTCTTTGTTGATATTTTTTATTCCTCGTGACCTTTAAGGTGATGGTAAACGGTACGATTCGCAACGAAGATTTTTAGACCAACACAGCGTTGCAATGTTGAAACTTCGTAAAAATGTTGTAACGCTGTGTTGCGCTAAAAACCGTCGTTGCGAATCGTCTCGTGTAACCTCACCTAGCCTGTTCCAGGGGTTCAGGTATTAGAGCGCTGCGGTCAGTGGGGAGCGAGTTAAATTGAACATCGGGAAAACGGAGGGAGGCTCTCGTTTTTTTCTTCGTGAATTTTTTTCCCCGCGCTCTACTATCTGAACGCCTGGAACAGACTATCACGGAGCCTGGGTTACCTGTGATGTGACTCATTCTTTACTTGTTAAGCAGTCTTAATATTTCGAAATGTATTGTTTTCCGTATTTGGGTAACTTCTATCAAACTAACTCTTTTTTTGGTCTTTTCAATAGGCTGAGAATCTATTCTAGTATCCGTAAGGTTTTCGTTCAATTTTTCACTTTTTAATTGATTTGCAAATGCAAATGATGACCTGTCGATCTTAATTAGTATTCCATTGTTTCAGTCATTCAACTCCCCGCCAAAAGCTGAATTCAAATCCCTTCCCATCACCTTTTCGGTCACGAAAGTATGCCTATTGAAGCACAAATAGATATTTAGCAATAACGTATTTCTGTTTAAAAAAAAGCCTACTACTGTCACGTTTCTGTAACTTGGTTGAGAATGAACATTAGTAAGAATTAAAGAAGAAATCGTTTATCGAATACAATACTTTATTAAAAGAATATTCAAGTTAACCCATTCCTTTAACAATTACGTTATGTACATAATTTGATATATTTAAGACCACACGGGTTCACCTCGGACTACTGAAATGTGGCTTCACTTGCCTACAATAACATTATAGCACTGCTGTACAGCTGACAAATACATTTATTAATCAAAGAGGGATTTGTTTACTCCTTTCCTCCGGGAAGAAAGGACAATTTTTATTGAAATATCTGAATTCGATGATTAGTTTTGTCGCACACAACAATTTGATCATTACTTAGAACAGCTACCGACAATGGATAATTGAATTCTCCTAATTTGCTGCCATTTGTTCCGAATTTTCCGACAAACTTCCCATCTAGTTCAAAGACTTGTATTCTACTATTACTTCCATCACAAACCAACAGGTGCTTTGACTGAGTCACTGACAGAAAACCTGGAAAAATAAACTCCCCGTCCCCTTGCCCCTTCTTACCAAACTTGTACTGAAAATGCCCCTCCCTGTCAAATACTTTGATACAGTGTTCATGTGAGTCTGACACTATGAAATATTCACCACACTGAACACAGTGAACAGGAAAACTAAAAGAACCCTGTTCACCTATCTTCATTACAAACCTACCATCCGGGGTAAAGACCTTAATCTGTTTGTTGCATGAATCAGCAACAACAATATTACCAGTACTATCTAAAGATAAACCCCTAGGACCAGAGAGCTGACCATCAAGCCATCCTTTGCCGCCAAATGAACTCAGATGCCTCCCCTCCCAACTAAAGATCTGTACTTTATCGTTACCCCAGTCTGATATGAAAATAGTTCTATCCTTGTCAATGGCTATTCCTGTAGGATTATCTAACTCTCCAGCATTTTCACCCTTGTGACCAAAGGATCTTAAGAAAGTACCATTACTGTCAAACACTTGAACCCGATGGTTACTGCAGTCAGTTACTACTATTTCGTCCCCATCACTCACAGCCACCCCATAAGGATAATTAAACATTCCATCAACGGAGCCTTCCTTTCCAAAAGATAAAACAGGTTTGACTTGAAATGGTTTTAAAATCACAGTAAAAGGACTACAAGAAATATGTTCCCCGTTTACCTTAACTAATAATTTGAATGTCCTCTGAACTATGGGAAAATAAGTGATTTTGTAGATTCCATTTTTGTTATCATCTATTTTCACTTGGGTCACGCATTCTCGTTCTTGTTCATCCTCGATCTCTACCTTGACACGGTCGTGTTCATTATACCACTGTTTTCTCTCCCCGTTTCTTGTGATCAAATGAAATTGAGCTTTACGCCCAACAGTTCCTTCTGTCAGTCCTTCACCTTCAGCCAAAAATTCGCTCGGTTTTTTTCGATAACCTTCTTCCAGGCATAGGAAACCAAGTTCTTCCCCGTTGACGGTATCAATCGTCTTCTGATTTTCCACGAAAACTAAAGTTTGCAAACTACTGGGGTCATAAACAATAGGCTCGGTTTGATTCAATTCCTGAAAAACTGTTTGTAGTGATTTTTTGAGTTCAACAACTTCCGCACTGGTGCTTCGTTTTAAAAGTTTATCAGCTTCCCCCAACGATGATTCGGTGGCATTTATCTGTTGCTGAATCGCACTTCTTTTTGCTTTTAAAATTTCGAGTGACTTCTTCGTTTGGTCTTCCACAGCGGTAATAATATTTTTCATTTTTGCTTGAATTGTCTTGATCAAGCCATCAGCAAACCTTTGGACATCTTTCCTGGCGATTTCACTTTGTTGAATCAGCTTAGCACAGTCCTCGTCTAGTTGAGCAATTACGTTCAGTTTCGCATCTAACCCTTCTCTTTGCATCTGAAGGATAGATTTTATTTCGAGAGTTTTGCTTTCGGCTTCTTCTTCGATTAATCTCAAATCATGACCTCCGTGATTCAAAGTGACGCAAGTTTGGCAAAGAGCTGTCTCGCCTTCTTTGCAGTAGTATTTAAGCTCTTCTTTCTGGTGTCGTTCCTTTGAACAAAACACTGGTCGCTTCAATACATCCTCGTAGTCCTTGTCTTGGAACTCTTTCACTGCCAATACGCGGTGTTCCTTTTTGTCTCGCATCATATTGTGACCAACTAGGCATTGCTCGCAATAAAATATGCAACACTGGAAACAATACGAAGCTTCTGAACTCTTCTTGTCGCAGTTTCCGCAAGTAACTTGAGTCTTCTTGTATTCTTTGATGGCAAGAACATCGATTAAGCCGTTCAAATAGAAGCTGGTTGGAAGATCTTTTAGATCACCGCTCGCAGGCACTCTGCTTAGGGTTTGGCACTTCGGGCATTTAATGGCCTGTCCGCCGCCGCACGTTTCGTACCATCGATTCAGACACTTTAAGCAGAAACTGTGCAAACAGGAGAGATGTTTAGGATCCGTAAATAAGTCCGAGCACACTGAACAAGACACTTCTTCTCGAAGATTGTAAAATAGCGTTGTAAGATCCATGATGGCTTCAGGAACAAAGGCGAAATGACCTTTGATGCACTCCACACCCAACAATGAAGTCTTGTGACTTTCTATCTTTAGCTTTTCTCGGAAACAAAGGCCGACGAGCCAATCACGATCGCTGTTGTAAGAGTCCTTATCGCGCTAACCAGAAGTAAGAAGATCAATAACAAGATAAAGATTAAATTCTTTGTGAAGCAAGAATGCGAGAAAACCCCCGTTATGAGGGATGGTCGGAAACGGCGTAGGTAAAAGAGGAACAACTGTTAACCTGTTTACGGTCATCCCCTCATTCTACACGATTTTGTTTGAGGGGAGGAAGTGACTATACACAGGCTGAACAACTGTTATGCCAGTTGAACTACGGACCAATCTTTCATGCCTTTCATCCTTACACTTAAGGGCCGGGCTTAAATTTCTGGAACCTCCTCTTCTTCATTCTTTTCGCTTTCATGAGTTCAAGTATCTTATATAATCTGATGGTGTAAAAAGTCCCTAACAGGGCCGGTTAAACACCTTCAGAAACAAAGGCTAAATTACCTTCGATGCACTCCACACCCAACAATGAAGTCTTGTGACTTTCTATCTTTAGCTTTTCTCGGAAACAAAAAAAAAGGCCGACGAGCCAATCACGACCAATGTTGTAAGAGTCCTTGTCGCGCCAGCTTTAGTGTGCCATTTTAAATGCAAATTATTTCAAAAGTAAACCAGACGTAAAATGAAGACTAAATCCTTTGTGAAGCAAGGATGCGTGAAAGCCATAACTATGCAGGATGCTAAATCAAGTACGAGTGCAGCGTAGATGAAAGCGAAACATCTGTTAGCCTGTGTACTGCCGCCCCGGCTCTCTCCTCCATTTTGTTTGAGGGGAGGGGCTACTGTACTCGTCATATACCCGTTCTAAGACCAAAACGACTCAAACACCATACCCTTTGGGGCGGCACATGCATATATGGGTAATATAATGGAGTAACTCCCCTTGACACAGTCTAAACAAATGTCCGTGAAAGAATTATATTGCCATGTTATATAGTTAACCCACGGACCAATCCTCCACCCTTCCCCTCAAGGGTTTAAACCGGGTTTAAAATAAGTAAGTTGTTCATGTTTTCCGCAGACAAAATTTTGGCACAATTTATACAAGTTTATAATATATCATGATAGTGTAAAATGTCCCTAACAGAGCCGGCTATACAGCATAATTGTTTCTGGTAAAAATCTTGTAGGGCTTATCACGTTATAGGCAAATAACAACACATCATAAGCCAGCAGCAGGATGTTTTAACTACCCTGACCTCCCTTTACGCCCCATTTATTTTTGTCGGTGGGGATATCAATTCATTTAGTTGCTCATTATTCTTTCTCCTGCAATGTGCTTATCTTTAGCGCAATTCCTTTTTGGCTAAGCTCAGTATATTAAGCTTTTGGAGTACTATACCCGTGCTGATAAGAGGTTGGGTAATGAAGCTCTGAAGTCTTTTCCCTCGAGGTCGTGTAATTTACAAGCCTTTTAAGGTGGTACCGGGCATACGTATTTGGTCGTAGTATTAACCCTTATTGAGGGGAAGAGTCCTATATTCTACGTTTGAAGCATAGTTGATACAAGAAACAACTTAAAGCAACGAAAATATTGCTCGATGGATGAGTAGGGTGGGTGAGGCTCCATACACATAATTCCACTTCATGGGCTTCTCCTTTGGGTAGGACCACCGGTCAACCAGGGAGATTATAAAATGGTCGGAGCAAAGGTCACCCCCAGGGGTGGGGGAATATAAAAAAGGTCCCGGTCAAAGCGCTTTTCAATGAAGGACGTAGAGTTGCACAATAGTGCAACTTCTTTGTTGAACAAGAAAAGATAGTCACGTTATCTCGTTCACTAAATAGACGTCTTGCCATCAAGGGAAATATCATTGGCTTGAAGTATGAGGTTTAAATTTCGCTGGCGATCCATCGCTTTTACAGACTTTTAATTCGAACGGCTTGGAAACTAAAATTTGATAGAATTTTGTTTTGAATAAGGATATGGGCATGATTTTCAGTTGAACATGCCTACCGAGCGTAAAAATCGCATCCAGTCTGAGGATTAATGAGAGAGGGAAAATTTTATATATTTAGGCATGACAAAATTCAAGGGAACATTGGTACTTAGAAATAACATCTCATAAGCATGGAAAAAATGGGTTCATGCCCTCGCAGCCCAAAATTGACCCAGCTAAACTTAGGTCCCAGATCTCTCGCCGGGTTAATAATTCATTCCCAGTTTTAGCTCCTCTGGTTTGGCATGCCGGGCATGCCGAACACCGCGGCAAAACGCACTGCGCATGAGCACAAAATTTAACATCCGGTCAGCTTTTTATTTCCGGTCTAGTATATAAACCAATTGCGTAAGCATGACATTGCCGTCGCACCAAGTTTAAAAGCAAAAAGGGCGAAACAGACAAAAAAGGGGGGCAAAAAAATCACTTCAATCGAAAGCTTATATATTTTTCTAGTGTCAAACTTTTGCACCACATGGTTATCTGTTTGCACCAACGGTGAAAATGATGTTTGAAGTTTGCAGGTCGCGAGCGCTCGACAAGACGAATTTGTTTTCACTGGCTTTCTTGCATGCTACTGGTTTGGCATAAGTTAATTTGGGAGAAGGCGATAACTAAGAAAAGAATGGCAATACTTATGAAAGAAACCAAAATAAAGACGTCATCATTATCATTAACACTAGAATCAGGAAATAACATTTTAGTCTGTTCAACAACTTTTTTATTATTAGAGAAAACAAGAACTCAAAACAAAAGATGTGCAGGATTTAATAACAACCACGACTTTGATGACTGCAGTCACGAACACCCGGAGCTTTCAGTGCCGGGACTGTGCCTATAAAGACTTTCATTCAAGAAAATGCCTATTTAATTCTTTTACATGGTTGTTCTTTGGTTGTTCTTTGGTCGGTGAAGACTTCAATAATTTCAGACTGTGCGGCTCGGCTGCATCTCACGCAAACACCAAACTTTCAGCTACTAAATACATGGCATGAAATTTCGACTTCTAAAAGCCATCGAACCAGCTTTCGCTCTCTGATTCTGAGAATGAAAAAAATAAATAGAGTTG